TCCACATTTCCAGAATCTGCAGTATTTTGCTCGTACAGATTAGTGAATGCTAATCCACGACCAGAATAGGTACCAGTTAAGTGGGCTAAGTAGTCTCCACTTATGTGAAAGAGAGACAGATCAAAAGACATGATGCTGAGAATGGAACATTTGGGCATGCTTGGAAGTTGCTTGATGCTGACTAGCTCTGGCCAAAGATTATTAGTTTAAAAGAGCTATTCCTTTTCCTACTGGCAGACTAGGTAATTAGAAGTGTAAATTTGCATTATCCATTTACATAGAGTCAAGAATAGATAATTACAGAAATGTACTGAGTTGAGTGAGGCACTGTATACCAGAAAGCCTGCGTAGTGATTGTCAGCCAGGCAGTCTTCAGAATACAGGTTCCCCGATTCTGGCTGCTAACCTGGTCCAATCAGAGATCCCTGACTGACAAATATATACAGGAATGTATTAGAAAAATAAGCTGTAAACAAGAATGTCAGAGATTCTGCTCACTCAGAGCCGACTCTCAGGAAGCCAGACCAGAGTCAAGGATTATGCATGTGGACATAAAAGGTGACTTGGTGACGGGATACCAGCCTCTGTGGAGTTATTTCAGTGGCGACAAGAATAGGATTAATGATGTAACCATGCAAGAGCGCCTACTAGCCGAAACCTCACTGGACTTCAAACAGACACTACAACTGACTTGGTCATTAGAAATTACAGCAAGTGGAACATATGGGATACAGGGTATTCCGATGGAAGTGGGCACCCTCACCAGGCCTACTGAGCTCGAGAGACACCACTTAAGTGAAGGCAATTACATAGCATCACTCAGGACAGATCCTGAGCACAGGGACTCTAGGTCAGCATAAAGCAAAACTCCAAAACAAAGCCAAGCCTCAGCCAAACGGTTAACATTTTCTCCAGGATCTGGTCCGGCAAGCCATTATAGAGTTGCTACCCATATGCGGACTCGAGATAGGAAAAGTCCCACTGGGCCTGAATGGAGTAAGAGAACGCATATCCAGGAGAGCTCACACCCTGGAAAGCCCAACTACATCTGGTTTGGAACAGTTAAAATCAGAATCAACCAAAATAAACATCTAGTTAAATGGTTGCCGTCTTCTAATGGAGGTTGAAACAAAAACAGAAGTTTTTGTTCCTGATTTACAGCATCCGCAGTTCTTTAGGTTTTCAATGGAGGTTGATGCTGGTATGGCCACATCAGTGACTGAAGAACTAGTCTTTAACAAAATTCAGTCTGGACTCCAACTCTTAAGTTTGAGAACCTACAGGGGAACCTTTACAGATTAAGGGAACAACTTCGGTTCCAGTCTCTTATGAACAGCAGCTGGCTCAGTTACCACTAATTGTACTGAAAGGCTCAGGCCCAGGTTCAGGCCTGACGTGGTGAAATTGATTGAGAAAGATTCACCTTGATTGGCTCAATATTTTTCAATTAGAAAATGGGTGCCCAACTAAAGCCCTAATGAAATACCCAGAGGGTTTTCATGAAGGTCTACAGACTATCAAGGTGCCAAGGCCACTCTGCATGTTGACCAGGAAGCAATTCCACACTACTGCAAGGCCTGCCCAGTGGCATTCGCCTGGTGTAAAAGTAGAGGCAGAACTCAGGAGATTGGAACTACTAATTTCCTCCAATTTAGAGAACTTGGACATAGTCCTTCGATGTTTCTCCAAGGCAGGCATATGTCTTAGAAGGGAAAAGGGTGTGTTCCGGGCACCCCAACTGATTTACTTTGAGTTACAGAGTTGTCAAAACCGGGTTATACCCATTGCAAGATAAAGCGAGGTGCCTCAGCTCCCATGCCTAGACCAGAGCTTAAGTCTTTCCTGTGATTGATGATTTTTTTATGGAAAGGTCATTCGGAACCTGGCCTCCATCCTGGCACTCACATCTGCTATTGAGAAAGGGACAGCCTTGGAAATAGTCTTGTAGCTAAAACATAGCCTCTAGGGAAGTGAAGGAACAGCTATTGTCCAAGGTGTTGACGCACTGTGATCCCAAGTGAGATCTTGCACTGATATGCAAGGCCTCCCTGTACAGCTTCGGGGTAGTGTTGGCTCACATGTAGCCCTAAGTAGAGGAATACCCAATATCGTATGCTTCCCAGGCTTTGGCTGATGCAGACCGCAAATCTGCCCAGACAGAGAAGGAAGGTTTGGCGATTATCTTTGGAGTGACAAATTTCCACCAATACCTTTCCGGATGTAAATTTGTAATAGTAACAGACCATAAACCCCTGCAAGGTCTACGTAAAGAGGACATGGCAGTGCTGCCCATAGCTTCAGGCTGAATTCAGCAGTGGGCTCTCATTCTAAATGAGTACAATTACAAGTTGGAACACCATCTGGGAGGCTAAGTAGCAAATGTGGATGCCTTGAGCCACCTCCCACTGGCAGATACACCACCAGTGGTGCCGCCACTGAACAGTCTGTTTTGGTTTTAAACTTTCCAGACACCCTTCTGGTCACCACTGACAATATCTGACTGTGGATATAAAAAGATTTGGTCCTGGCAAAACTAAAACAGCTGATGGTGATGAGGAAACCAAAAGGGCCATCACAACCAGAACTGAAACCTTTCTGGACTGGGCGAGACCTGATCACCATGGAGTACAGCATTTTATTTTGGGAAGCAAGGGTGATTGTCCCGAGCAAAGGTCACTGTTGTATACTGGCTGAACTCCACCAAGGTCATCCAGGAGTGTCCAAAATGAAGATGTTGGTGAGAAGTTATGTCTGGTGGCCAGGACTGGATGCAGGCATAGCACTGATGGAGCAGTGCCCAGTGTCAACAAGGACAAAAGTGTTGCCAGCAGTTCACCCACATTCATGGGAATTGCTAGTAAACCCTGGACTCGGTTACATGTTGTCTATGCTAGACCTTCCATGGGCTTAATGTTCTCAGTCATTGTGGATGCCCACTCCAAGTGGTTGGACATGCATAGAGTTCATTTGTCAAACACGGGGAGAATGACAGAAAAGCTGCGAGCATCTTTTCCAATACATGGGCTCTTAGAAGTGTTGGTTATAGACAATGGGCCATCATTTAACAGCAGGAAATTAGAGCATTTCCTAAAGTTGAACAGTATTTGGCACACCAGGATAGCCAAATACCATCCATTGTCCAATGTTCTGGCAGAAAAAGCAGTCCAAACTTTGAAGGCAGACTTACAGAAACAGGTTACATCTTTACTCTATACCAACTGTTCCAGTTCTTATTTGATTAGTGGACTACCCTTCAACTACAGGGATAGCTCCAGCAGATTTGCTAATGGGAAGAAGACTGTGCACCAGGTTAAATCTGATCTTCCTGAACTGGTGAAGTGTGCACTTGAGGTGTATACTGAACAAGCATGTGGTCCACATGAAAACTGCAAATTCTCAAATGGAGCAGGAGCATGACATACCCAGCCCCTCAGAAGAGCTGGAAAGGCTGTTGGAACTCCTGGATTCTCCCCCTCCATCTCACAAAGAAACCTCAGAATCTGAGATGGACATGGTGGATGTCGCTCCCTCAAAGCCTTTACTGCCTGACTAAGAGGATGAATTGCTTCTGAGTCAATCTGGACACAAGAGACGGCTCAGTACATGCCACCTGTATCAGAGGCAGAGTCAGAGGAACCACACCCTGAGCGAAAATTCCTCAAGAGGTTACAGGAAAGAGAATAGGCCTACATGCCTGGACTTAGACGGTGAGGGATGTAGGAATTGTAACAAAATCAGCCAGGTGGATCTCATAGAATGAGTTCCCTAATTGGACCAGGTTAACAGCACCAATCAGGGAGCCCTTGCTGACAGCGATACACAGGCATATCAGAGGTTCTGCTTACAGGAAGCCAGACCAGTGTCAAGTACTATGCACGTTGAAATAATCGGTGACTTGGTGACAGGCTACTGGCCTTTGTGGAGTTATTTCAACATGCACCATGAATATATAAATAAAAATTTCTTGTCACTTTGCTCATTCTTTTACCAGTTACTTTATGTTCCTCTGGCTGTCAGTCTCTTAGCTGTTTATCCAAACATACTATTGAAATCATTCCTTATTTTTGACATCTTTATTATATCTCCCCTTACCAGCTCCTTTGAGGATAATCCAAATCTTTTTGGGATCCACGTATTTGAAGTTCATTATCTCCATTAATGATTCTATTAATTCCCCTCCTAAACATTTCCAAGGTCTTTTAATCCTTCAAGTGTGGTGCCCAGAATTAAACAATACTCCCAAACTGGAGTCAAACAAGCAATTTATACAAGTGCTGTTTTACTTCCTTGCTTTCGTACTTTACATTTCTAACTATAAAATCAAGGATCCAGTCTGCTCTTCATGACCTGATCATTTTGTCTTGTCAACTTCAACAATCAGTTTGCTTACGCACCTAGCTCTCTTATGTTTCTGCATCCTCATTACAATTGTTTCATTTATAATGTATAAAAATAACTGGTATATGGGTTATTGCAAAGCTAAATTTTGAAGAATAGATGGGAATAGAATAGAATAGAACCAATTGCTAAAAGAAACGAAACATCTAAAAGCAAAATAATTTCTGTAAAAATTTGTTTTGTACTTATTCTGAATATATTTTGTACATGAAATGCTATTCTACATAGATTCTTCCCAGTGATATGGGGATCGGGTAATCTAAAACTGAATAAATGTAACAATGGTTCTGAGCAAATTCCATGTCCTGAGGAGGCAACTACAAATTATAATTTGATTCCTACTCCTGAAAGATTATTCACAGATGAAGCTCAGCATTTGACAGATTATTTTTACTAAACCTGCTCTGCTCCTGTTTTCAGAGGAAAACCCAAAGCAATTGCTGTTTCATTACAAGTTAATTGCAACAGATTTGACTCTTTGTTAGATGCATCTAACAAACCACCAACCCTCATTAACTGTATGTTTTGGTAGCATAAGATTAATTTTTTTTCAAAAATGGCTACAAGTTTATTTTCAATCTTGTTTTAGAAGTTAAACTTACCCGTACTTCACCACCTTCCCTACGAGGATCATGCTTCTTTGCGAAGTGTCTCAGGTTGTCATAATTATGGAAGTTAAACAGAGAAACGAGATCCTAAAATTATATGAAAAAAAGAAAAGAAAAGAAGAGAATCATCAGTTAATAAGACCGACAAACACTATAAACACTTTAACTAACTAACTGAGCTTGGAGTCTTGATGTAATTTCTGCTTTGTAGCATTTTCAAATATAAACTCTCACAGGGTACAGAGAGGTTTTAGTATTTTAGAACACAAAAACAGTTATAGTCTTAAATAATTTGCATTTAAATCCAGCAATACAAAAATATATTTGTATTTAATATCCATGTTTAATTAAATTTCAATTAAAACATAAAACAGCCCATGAACACACCCTTTAGTTCACCATATCTGTGCTGACCATGATGCCATTCTAAACAAATCCCAGCTGCTTGCACATAATCCAAATCCCTCTATTCCGTGCCTGTTCAGATTTTTGGCACTAATGCTTTGAGTCCTGGAGACCACTGTAATCACAATAGTACCTACCCTGAGACACAGACCCAGGTGCCAAACCTCAGATTATTTATAGAAAATGGGCATATACATAGTCATTCCTCCATATCCACAAGACTTCCATTCCCTAGAAGGTTTGCGAATGGAATTCCTAAATTTGGAGCTTATTTAAAAATAGGTTAAAAATCACAGATTCGCATTTTTACCTGATGTTAATTTTTGTTGTTACTTTTTTTGGTGTGGATCGGCAAATTCATGATTTCACAAATACTGAGGATTTAGTGTATGAACACAAAAAATAGGAGGCCTAATGATAACGTCACTGGACTGTCAATCCAAAGGCCGAGGCTACTACTCTGGATACACGTGCAACTGTTGGAATTTCCACTGAATTAACTAAAATCTGGAACTAAAAGCTAGTCTCAGCAATGGTGACAATGAGACCATTGTTGATTGTCATAAAAACTGATTCAATAACATCCTTCAAGACAGGAAATTCATCATTCTTGCATGATATGGCCTACATGCGACAGCAATGTCGCTTACGTCCAAATACCCTCTGAAATGGCATTGTATGCCACTCAGTTGCATCAAACTGCTGTAAAATTTAAAAAGAGTTAATTGATAGTTGGACTATCTGGCATCAACCTAGGTATGAGAAATGACAGCAGCAGACCCAGACCCGTCAAACCTGCAGAGTCTTCCTTACTAACATCTGTGGGCTTACGTCCATCCGGGAAAGCTGTCCCACAGTCTGGTCAGTCAACATCTTAATCATATTCATTAAATCCTATATTACAGGAAATGACACCATTATCATCAACCATTGTATGTTGTCCCAACCACAGCCCAGTCCCAGCAGAAAGGGAGGCACAATAGTATATTGGGATTTGCCTGGACTTGCAGGTGGTAGTGTTCCATCTATTTGCTGCCCAAGTCCATTCAGATGACAATGGCTGCAGGCCTGGAAGGTGTTTTTTAAGCAGCCTTGGTAAATTTCTGCAGTGCATTTTGTAGATGGTACACACTGCTGAATTCAGTGTCAGTGGTGGAAGGCGAATGTTAGTGGATGTGAAGAAGGTCATGCAAGGAGCAGCCACAAGCATATCTAAATGTGTGATGTCACGAACATGGTGAAACTTCAACACAAGACTACTTAGAAACAAAAACAGCATGAAACAGAGTTAAACATTTCCACGACCAATGGATCACATCTAATCTTTGCAGTCCTGCCATATCCAACCATGAATGGAAGCAGACAATTACACTGACAGAAGAAGGCTCTTTCAAACATTCCCCCAATCCTCAATGATGTGGGAGCCATGCACATCAGTCCAAAGACATGGCTGAAGTATTGCAATCACTTTCAGACAGGAGTGCTGAGTGGATGATCTGTTTATGCCTCCTCTGAGCTCCCCAGCAGCAAAGATGCCAGTCTTCAGTCAATTCAAATCGCTCAATATGATATCCACAAGTGGCTGAAGGTACTGGATACTGTAAAGGCCGGGGGCCCTGACAACACTCTGGCCATTGTACTGAAGACTTGTGCTACAGCACTAGCACCTATCTAGCAAAGTGGAAAGCTGTTCAAGTTATGTCCCTTTAACAAAAAAAAAGCAAGCCAACTGCAACAAGGCCAATTACCACCTCATTAGTCTGCACTCTCAGATAATTGCTAGAAGGGATTGTTGACAGTGTTATCCAGCAGTAATTTCAAACGAATAACTAGATCGCTGAGGCTCAGTTTGAGTTCCTCCGAGGTCACTTAGCTTCTGACCTAATTATAGCCTTAGACCAAATGCAGGAGAAAAAGAACTAAACTCCAGATGTGAGGTAAAAGTGTCTGCCCTTGACATCAAGGTAGCATTTGATTGAGAATGGCATCAGGAGCCCGAGCAAAACTGAAAATCAACAGGATTCGGAAAAACGTTTGGCTGTCCATCCATCACCTTCCACATTCACTCCCTCCACCAATGCATAATGGCAGCTGCGTGTACCATCTACAAAATGCATTGCAGCAACCAACCAAAACTCCTTCACCAACATCTTCCAAATCTGCAACCACTACTACCTGAAGGCCAAGGGCAATAAATGTATGGGAGTACCACAAGCTACAAGCTCCCCTCCAAAACAGACCTATTCTACTTCTAAACCATACCACTGCTTTTTCACTATCACAGTCAAAATCTTGGAACCTCCTTCCATGTAGTACTGTGACTTTACCTAGCCCAAGCACTGCAGCGGTTCATAAGGAACTTCATCACCAGCTTCAAGGACAATTAGGGTTGAGAAATACATGCAGGCTTAGCCCAGGTGATGTGGGGAAGAAGAAAAGGACTGGATTATTTGGCCCCTTGAACTTGCTCTGCCATTAAGATCCTGGCAGGTGTGATGTGGCCTCAACTCCACTTTTGTGCCTAACAATACCCCACTCACCAAAAATAAAATCTCTATCCCCTCATCTTTAAACTTTGCCACAGTCTAGAATCAGGAAAACGTAGTTCTTCCCTACTAAAGACCAATGGCATAGTCAATTGTATCAAAGGCTGCAGACAGACTGAGATAGGATAGGTTACACTTATCACAGTCACAAAAGATGTTTGCAAAAAAAAAAAAAGAGATAAAAAACCATGGATACTTTTGCATGTCTCATCAAAATAAATATTGTTGCACTTACCTGGCAGAACTGAATTCCCTTTACACTGTTGCCAAGTTTATCCAAAGGTGGAGACCAACACATAATGCCCATCACATTGGGCACGACCAACAAAATACCACCAGAAACTCCAGATTTTGCTGGAAGACCCACCTACAAAAAAAAGTGCACAAATTAATGTACTTATGTACAAAGACACTATTGGCACCAAACAATACTTTTGATAATTAACATTTTATTTGATGTACTGAAAAACAGAGCCCCTAAAAGTTCACATGCCAAATGCAATATGTCGTACTGAGCAAACAGTACAAACCTAGGGAGGTTTAAAAATTAATTCAGTCTGTGTGCCAAAGGACGTGATTGGTATTGGTGATTTAATGCAAGACAGTAGTAGCTAGCATTCCTGTCCAGTTACTGAAGGGCACCTGCCTTTTAAGAATACAGTCCCACTTCAGCAATGAAACTCCCAAATACCTTTCCAGCCCTCGCTATCTAAACACAAAACTTCTTGAATGAACAACTCAAAAGATAACTACTAACGCAGGGACTGGTAATGTTTGTCATCACATTATTCAGAAATCAAAATATGCTTACACAACTCAAAAAAAAAGTGCCAATATTCCCGTTTTCAGCTTGGAGAACTGCTCTAATTCATTTGTAGACTCCACAAGTGTAAGAAAAGAAACAAACAAATTGGCATCCACTGCTTTGCTTCTTTGGAGAGGTAATAATGATTTAGGACAGACCAGAGAAGCAAAGAGAATCAAAAGAAGTTCATTGTCTATTCTGAAAATCTTTCCACTGGCATTTTTGAATTCCCTCACATGTTGCACAAAGGTTTGTCCCATTTGAAACAGAAGGTTGTTTCTATGAGATCAACAAAACCATCTAACAGGGGCAACTTCTTTTTTTAAAAAACACAGAGGGTGGCAGTCATATGGAATATGCTACCAGTGGAATAGAACATAGAACACAGAACTGTACAGCCCCTTCGGCCCACGATGTTGTGCCGAACTTTTACCCTAAACCGAAGGTCTATCTAACCTCCACCCCTACCTTATACTATCATCCATATGCCTATCTAATGGCCACTTAAAATGCCCCTAATGAGGCCGACTCCACTACCCTCTCCGGCAATGCATTCCACGCCCCTACCACTCTGAGTAAAGAACCTACCTCTGACATCTCCCCGATATCTACCTCCTTTCACTTTAAAACTATGTCCCCTCGTAAAAGCTACCTCCACCCTAGGAAAAAGTCTCTGGCTGTCCACTCCATCTATACTTCTGATCATTTTGTACACCTCTATCAAGTCACCTCTCATCCTTCGTCGTTCTAAACAGAAAAGCCCTAGCTCTCTCAACCTTTCCTCGTAAGACCTTCCCTCCATTCCAGGCAACATCCTGGTAAATCTCCTCTGCACCTTTTCTAATGCTTCCACATCCTTCCTGTAATGAGGTGACCAGAACGCGACAATACTCCAGATGTGGCCGAACCAGGCTTTTGTATAGCTGGAGCATAACTTCACGGCTTTTGAACTCAGTCCCTCTACTAATGAAAGCTGACACACCATACGCCTTCTTAACAACTCTATCCAACTGGGTGGCAGCTCTCAGGGAACTGTGAACATGAACTCCAAGATCCCTCTGCTCCTCCACACTGCCAAGAATCTTTCCGTTAACCCTGTATTCTGCTTTCAAGTTTGTCCTTCCAAAATGAATCACCTCACACTTTTCAGGGTTAAACTCCATCTGCCACTTCTCAGCCCAGCTCTGCATTCTATCAACGTCCCTTTGTAACCTAGAACAGCCCTCCGCACTGTCCACAACGTGACCCACCTTCGTATCGTCCGCGAACTTGCTAATCCACCCTTCCACTCCTTCATCCAAATAGTTGAGGAATGGAGGAGGCTAGCACATTAACATTTAGAATGCATTGGACGGATAGGAACAGTTTAGAAGGATATGGGCCAAGTACAGGGAAATGGGGTTAGCGTAGATGGACATTTTGGTCAGTATGGACCAGTCTCAGCCGAAGGACTTGTCTCCATGCTGTAGGATTCAATGACTCTAACTGGTCCCAAAATTTGACGTTAAGGGATCATAGTTTGATGCTTTTTACTTGCCAAGTTACATACACAGATCTTCATAATCACAGTATTGTAACTTTATGACAAATTGCCTATTTTTCAGCCCTAATTATCTGGTATCACTTGCGTGTATAACACAAGGAAAATTCAAGCATAAGAATATTCTTATCGATAGACATGGAATAATAGTTAGACAATAATTTTGAGGTTTCTAAACAAAACAATTCTTAAAAAGGTTTGAAAATTATTTTCCCCATTAGTTGAATCATTTTGGTCATTAACACCTTCGACTAGCAACAGCAAGGTGAGGTTGTTGACTTGCTCGCCAAGCTGGCTCATTATAGTTCAGACGTTTCATCACCATACTAGGTAACATCATCAGTGCAGTCTCTGATGAAGCGATTGTTGTTCTACTCCGCTTAGTATTTATATGATCCGCTCAGTTGAGACGCTTTGTCTCATTTCTGTTTTTTTTTCGCATGCGTTTGTATACGGGGTCTAATTCCACATGTTTATTGATTGCATTATGGGTGGAGAACCAGGCCTCTAGGAATTTCCATGCGTGACTATGGTTGGCTTCAGCTAGGATGGTCACGTCGACCCAGTGAAATTGAAGGCCTTCGTTGTCCGAGTGTACTGAAATGAGGGAAAGTTCATGGTGTCGTTTTGCTGCTAGCTGGTGTTCATGTATCCCAATGGCTAGTTTCCTTCCTGTCTGGCCGAAGTAATGTTTTTGGCAGTTCTTGCACGGTATTTTGTACACTGTGTTGGTGATGCATGTTGTGGGTATAGGGTCTTTGGTCCTTGTGAGTGTTACCAACGACCCAACACTGCAACTAGGAAATACGATGACCCAAGCACAGAAGAAACTAAAGAATGCAGCACAAATAACCAAGACAGACTACATAAAAATGAAACCAGAAGGCTCAAACACACCCCACTTCTACAGATTCCCTAAAGTACACAAACCAGACATCCCCCTCATAACCAGTGTCTCCCTACCAGGCAAACCTACATACAAGCCAGCCAAGGGCCTACAACAAAGACTGAAACACCTAGTCAATGGATCACCCCACTCCATCCAGTCTACCCAAGAATTCCTTAATCAAAATCAGCAATGGCGAGATTATGGCATCCTCTGACATTATAGCACTATTCACATCCCAGTAGACAAAGAAACACTGGCCACATCACTAGAGGAAACAGGAACACTGACCGACAGCTCCATCAGCAAGAACGATATATTTGAACGACTGGACCTATGCCTCACCACACACTCAATCTTTAATGGTCAAGTATGCAAACAGATTAATGTCACACCATGGGGTCACCCATCTCAGGACTTATTGCAGAGGCAGTCATGCAAAGATTCGAACCACAACCCTCCCCTGCATAAAGCCAAAACTGTGGATATGATACATGAATGACACATTTGTTATCATCAAATGCACTATGTTAGAAGAGACATGCCACCTCATTGACAACGTATTCACCGGGATCAAATTTCACAAGAGAAAAACAACAACCAACTTCCGTTCCTAGATGTCAGGGTAGAACAAATGATGAATGGGGAATTCCAAACCAAGGTATACAGGAAGGCAACACACACACTGACCAAATCCTCAATTTCCACAGCAATCACCCCAACATCCACAAACAAAGCCGTGTAAGGACACTTTTCAAATGGGCCGCAACCCACTGCAACACACCTGACCTTCACAAGGAGGAGAAGAGCACCTATACAAGGTCTTCACTATCAATGGATATCCCACCAACTTCATCCACAGATGCCTACTAGATAGACAACACAGAGGACACAATACGACCTAATACTTTGGCCACATTACCATATGTCAAGAATATATTGGAACTGACAGAGACTCCTACGACCACCAGGAATCTGGTTAGCACACAAACCCACAGCCATACTATGATAAACACTCAAGGACCAAAAGACCCCATACCTACGACATGTAGGACCAACGTAGTTTACAAAATGCTGTGCAAGGACTGCCAAAAACATTACAATCGGTCAGGCCGGAAGGAAACTAGCCATCAGGATACACGAATACCAGTTAGCAGCAAAACAACACACCCAACTTTCCCTCATTTCAGTACACTTGGACAACGTGACCATCCTAGCTGAAGCCAACCATAGACACTGGTTCTCCACCCATAATGCAATCAATAAACATGTGGGATTAGACCCCATATACAAACCCATGCAAAAAAGAACCGGAAATGACACAAAACACTTCAACAGACCGGATCGTATAAATACTAAGCGGAGTAGAACAACAATCATTTCATCAGAGGCCACACTAATGATGTTACCTAGCATGGTGATGAAACGTCTGAACTATAATGAGCCAGCTTGGCGAGCAAGTCAACAACCTCATCCACAAACCAAGCTACAAATCTTTGCAATAGCCTTAAGCTGCTAGGTGAAATACAGCATTCACTTACTCCAGTTTATAAAAGGAAGTCGTCATTTAAAAACTGTACCAAATAATTCTTATAAAAATTTTGGAAAAAGCATTGGTCGAGAGTTCAGATTCTATAATTGTAAACACAATGGATTTATGACAACATTCAATTGGTTATATTTTGACGTTTAAAAATGTTTAACTTATGGTGGAAAATTGTACAACATCTTAAATAATTGATAGGAAAAACAGACAAATTATTTGGTTTATTCATTCAACTTCTGCCATTGGGAGACTACTAGAATCTATAATCAGGGCAGAGTTACTGAACATGTGGATAAATATGAACTGATGAGAACAGAGGGAGCCAGCATTGGTTTACAATTGCTAAAATTATGTCTAACTAATTTTCTTTAAATCTATAATTTTTTTTCCAGGTCACTAACAAAATACATGTCTACTAACATTAAATGAAGGAATATGGTAGATATTTCAAAATTTGTTAATAACATTAAACAGGGTTGCACACAATTTAATGCAGAAGGGAAGCAAAGTTTTAAAGGGGCACTGATAGGTTAAGTCAATGGGCAAAACAGTGACACATGGAGTTCGGTATGAGGATAAATGAAGCCATTCATTTTTAACCAAAGATAACAGAGTATTTCCTAAATAATCAGAAGCAACAACTGTGTAGGAGCAGGGAGATTTAGGAACTAATGTGTAGAAATGCAGAAACTTAGTGATCAGGTACAAAAATTAATTCTGTGGAATGTTAGCCTTTATGATCACAGAGGTGGAAGTTATTTTATAAAAAACATAAATCTTTGTTTGCTACACTCCAGATGAAGTTTAACACTGAGTTATGGGTAACACATCTCAGAAGGCTATATTAGCCTTGGAGGAATGCAACATGAATTCACCAGAATGAAAACAGGGCCATAGAGCTACATTTGAGGACCAAATTGCATTGACTGGGTCTGAACTCCTTCCATCAAACATCAAAAGTGATCTACATGACATGTTTGTGATGATTAAGCAATTAACTAATTAATTAGCCTTTTTTTCCTGTTCCTAGCACTTCTGCAAACTGCAATGACATCCATGATAAATTAAATAAGCCCCTGGTTTCAACAAAGTGGTGCCATTGCACATGGGAATATGTTACACAACATTGGATTTGGCAAGTTTCTTTTAGCTCAATAAATGTGTAATATTTATTTTCCTACCTGATTTCCTTTGATCAAAAAGGAATACAGAACAAAAAGGGGACAATATTGTTCAGGGGCAATGTCAGGGCGTATTTCTTCGCACATAGAATCACAAGTGTGGAAACAGGCCATTTGGCCCAACAAGTCCACACCGACCCTCTAAAGAATACTCCACCCAGACTCAGCCCCCCTGTAACCCTGCACTTCCCCTGGCTAATCCAGCTAACTTACACATACCCAGACACTATGGGCAATTTAGCCTGGCCAAACCATCTAACCTGCACATCTTTGGGCTGTGGGAGGAAACCCATGCAGGCACGGGGAGGATGTGCAAACTCCAGACAGACAGTTGCCTGGGCTGGAATTGACCCCAGGTCCCTGGTGCTGTGCCACCGTGCCAGCATAGGGTAACGGAAGTTTGAAACTTTCCTTCAAAAAGCTGTTAAGTTTAAATCATTAAGTCTCAAAACTAAGATCGATAGATTTTTGCTAGGCCAGAAGATTAAAGGGATATGGAAGTATGGTGTGTAAATTGAGCCGAGTTACAGACTAACCCATAATTAGCAGGGCTGAGGACTCATGCTGTTCCTAAAGTTATTATTAATTTTACTTGGATTTTTCTCTTCTTCACGTTTAACAGAAAAATGCATTATTTTATATTTGCATGTAGTGTTAGCCAAATTGCATCATGGGAGTCCATTAGCCTGGATTGGTCCTCCTCAAATAGTCTGGGATTTTCTCTGCCAAAATTACAATGTGATAAATGTTCCAAGTGGAGTGAATCTGTTCCACTTCTAGATAACAATATTTATACTTACATGAAAGGCAAACTGTCCCGAGAAGTCATACATGCCACAGGAGTGCATCAAACTTAACGTGTTCCTAACGGCTTCAGGGCTTAGAACTCTCTCGCCTGTGATTGGACAGATTCCACCATTGGCAAGTGTTGCTGCCATTACACTAGCTGATTCACATGTTACTTCAATGGAACACAACTTTAATGGAAAGAAAAAAAGGCAATAAATTTAAATGCATCTGTGGTACGAAAGCAAGAAATGTAATATGAAGATTAGTGTAAGATTAGTGTAAACAGTTTTAGTATAAAATGTTCTTTACACAGATTTTGATTAAGATTTCTTACACTGTCTTTCTTTTTTACATGATTTTCTCCTTCCCATTGTAGTTTTATTTATAAAAATGGGTAGCTTCCAAGTTCACTCGCACCCAGCACCTATTCTGATAATAAAGCTATTATGAATGCCCCACATAATCTAGATACCATCACTTGGCTTCAAAAGCAAGATACAGCACAAGCTGGAAACCCAATACAAACAGAAAACACTGGGAATGCTCAGCAGGTCATGCTGCATCTTTGGAGAGAAAAGCAGAGTTAGACCATAAGACAGAGGTAGAAGTCGGCCATTCAACGAGAACGTGGCTGATCTAATGATCCTCGAGACTACTTTTCTACTTTGCACTACAACCCTTGATTTTCTTATAGATTAAAAATCTGCCTACCTAAGCCTTGAACACACTTAATGACCCAGCCTCAAAACCCTCTGTGATAAAGAATTCCACAACTTCACAACATTCAGAAGAAAGTCTTCCTCACCGCAGTCTTAAATATACAACCCCTTATTTTGAGTACGCCCCATAGTCCTAGACTTTCCTACAAAGGAGAGACAACCTTAAAATATAAGAGATTTTTAGGAGACTTGGCAGGGTAAATGCAGAAAGATTGTCTCCCCTGATGGGAGAGTCTAGGACTTTCCATTTAATATATTCAGCTCGCCTATTCATCCTTCCAAAATCCATAACTTCAGATTTTTTCACATCGTAGGGTGACCTGTACCTGGCTACGTAAGGTGACTTGTACCTGAACGCACTAAGTGGTCCACACCTACTTACAAGATGGCGGACAGAATTTAAGCAAAACTAAGCAGCCTGCTCACACAGTGAAATACAATGGTACCTTTGAACAGAACTGATAGGATGTCAGTAAAGGAACGCTGTATGTTCCTATCCAAGACAGTTTGATAAAGGGATGCCTTAGAACAGGTAAATGACCAAATTCCAAACTTATTAATGAAAGGTTGGTTGTCCCAGTAAACAAATAACATCAGGTAATAGATTAGGTCCTTAAGCAACTGCAAGGATAACAGCTAAAGTTATTTTGTAGGAAATAGGTACCTCTTTGAAGCTACAAGCAATATTAATGATGTCTAGCTAAAAATACTCTAAATAGAAATTGGTTTCAAAACATAACCAGGATATAATACAAGCCTTAAAATTCATTTAAGCTTAGGTGTTAAGATTAATTAGCCTTAGGAGACATCTTCTCTTATATCCTGAACAAGATAGATTGATCACAACCCATAAATTACAAAATGCTAACAGTAGTAGTTGTATAATATTACGCTTTTAAATAATTTTATAACAGAAGTTAACCTTATAGCAGTTAGTTAATACTAACTAACTTTTTGTTTTTACATAATGTAATAGGGACAGCGGGAAAATAAGTGGAGTAACTGCATGTGACAGAAGACAGCACCAGAATACAATCTATAATTGTAACAGAATTTGTAATATAATTGTAATAGAATTTGAGCTATCCTTACAGGTAAACAAGCCTGAGAAAGACCAGAAGCAGTATAGCCATTAAACTTTTCGAATGTGAATGAATAGGATGCATTGGAAGATCCAAAGGCCTAGAAATGACAATATCTAGCTAATACCATAAGATCATGGGAACTTGGGGCTGTCCATGGAAGTGTCCATCACTAATTAGGTGTCCCACAGAATTGGGTGTTTGGATTATGGGGAAGGATCGCAAATATGTTGCATTTGATTACTATAAACACAAAATGTATGAAAATGCTGTATTTCTTTGTAAAGCAGAGGGTATGTCATTGATCTATCTTGCGAAGTCAGATTTGGGGGAAGATCCTTTGGCCCTCCCTGCATAAACCGGTTTCTGCTTGAACAAACATCTTCCACTTGCCTGAATCCTGCCTGTCTCCTGCATCTTTGTCCCGGATCAAGAAAAACACTCCTACGCACATCATATTCTATATGCCAAGCTTTTGCTCAATCACAATCTTTATTTATCTTTCTACAGACTCTTCATCTTCACCCTTTGCTTTCCTACCTATCTTCCACTCACATAGTGGAGTATGGCTACAGTACCTTCACTTACCTCATCCAAGTAGTTAATAGATATTGTACATAAATTTCACTCCAGCACCAACCCCTGTGGTACACCGCTAGTTACAGATAGCCACCCAGAAAGTGACCCTCTTAATTCTGTCTTCCATTAGCTAATCAAACCTCTATCCATGCTAATATACTGCCTCCAACACTGTGCACACTTATCTTATTAAATAACCTAAGTGTATGGCATCTTAACACTTTCCGAAAATCCAAATATATTATATCCGGTCCTTCCCCTTTAACTATCCTGTTTGTAACGTCTTCAAAATGATTTTAGTAAATTTGCCAGGCATGATTTCCCCTTTCTGAAGCCATGCTGACTCTGCTTGATCATTTGTGCATTTCTAAATGTTCTGCTATTACATCTGTTCTCATAGACTCATAACATTTTCCCAAAAATACTCTGAGCTAACTAGCTCAGTTATGTTTTTTGTCCCTTTTCCTATATAAACAAAGGTTGCACTGACAGTCCCATGGGACTTTCTCATAATCGAAGGATTCTAAAAGATTACTTACTACCTGTGCATCTGCTGTCTGTCTTTACTTCCTTTAATACCCTGGGTGCTTCCCATCAGGTCCAGGGAACTTAGCAGTCTTTGAGCCCCATTAGTTTCCCTTGTCCCTTTTCCCTTTAGTGACAACTTGATAATAGATTTTCCCTTCTGTTCCTTATCCACTGTCTACACTTTCCACTTGCTCAAAACCTATAATTATTTTAACTTTAAACATTTGAACAAACTGGACATCTTCCTAAAAAGTCAACTATCTTTTCTCTCCACAGATATTGCATATCTCACTGTTCCAGAATTTAGTGTCTTTACGACCAATTGACTGACTGGATGATGATCAACAACTACCCAAACAGGAAATGTTAGAACCACTATTTCTATGCACCCAAATTTCATCCTCTAGCTTAGGTACTACTAGACCAGAAATCAATGCAGTTTTATTCCACGGTGCATGTTCAGTCCAGAAAGCCAATTAATTACACTTCAAATCATCCATAATGATTCTCTAGTGCAAAAAAATGACTGAAACTAGCAATATTCAAAAGGAGGAAGGCTTTTACGTAGAATCTCATGGCTCTCCCATTCTTAGCCTCCTATCAGCTGTCAAAGATGGTCAATATCTTCTCCCTTCTGTAACAATATCTAAGCACTGCTGCCTCACAGTGCCAGGGACCTGGGCTGGATTTCCTTTTCAGGCAGCTGTCAGTGTGGAGTTTGCACATTCTCCAAGTCTGCGTGGGTTACCTCCAGGTGCTCTGGTTTCCTCCCACAGTTCAAAGATGTGCAGGTTGGGTGGATTGGCTATGCTGAATTGCCCCTATTGTTTAGGGATATGCAGGCTAGGAAATACAAGGTTACGTGGATAGGGTAGGGGGTGTGTTGGTGTGGAATTCTCTTCGGGGGATTGGTATGGGACTCGATGGGCGAATGGCCTGCCTCCACACTGTAGGGATTCTATGATTGGATTCTACGACTCGACGTCCAATGATCTATGGCCAGGTCATGTACAGTTACATGCTCAAATTGCATCTGATTTAAATTTTCCCCAAGTGAAGAAAAATGCCTCTGCATCAGCTCTGTCTTTCTTAATCCGGATAGTAAAAAAAAGTATCTTTTCACCATCAGTCATTTTGGGCTGTACTTCAATATGCATTCTCATTAGGATTTCTGTTAAAAAAACAGATTTATACTTGTACTAAATGCACTTTCCTCATACTTTGTTCCCTTCAAAAATTTGGAGATAACTGTGTAAAATATGTATTGGCTGCAGTTCCTCACTTTCCAACTTGGTGCTGTGGACACTCTGTGTCACTGCCAAATTACCATATGCAAACCTGGAAAGTGTCAACAGTCTAGTTTACAGGATACTATTTACCAGGGGAGGCAATGACCTAGTGGTATTATCACTAGACTGTTAACCCAGAGACCCAAATAACGTTTGGGGGCATGGGTTCGAATCGTACCACAGTAGATGGTAGCATTCGAATTCCATAAAATATCTGGAATTAAGCATCTAAGGATGACCATGAACCCATTGCCAATTGTTGGAAAAACCCATCTGGTTCATTAATGTCATCTTACCTGGTCTGGCCAATATATGACTCCAGACCCACAGACTTTTAACTGCCCTCTGGACAATTAGGGCAACAAATGCTGCCTGGCCAGCGACGCCTTCATCCCGTGAATGAATAAAAAACAATTCTAAGTTGCCATCGCACATGTTCTAGAAGTTGGCAAAAAAGCAACAGAGAAGAGACTAGAGTCTAATCCTACCCTCACGCAATACACAAACATGCACACATTTTCAATAGCCTCACAAAGGCAGAGATCACAGTTAGGAAACCAAGAGATGTTTCTCCTTCCCCTCAGAAAGGTCACCGGACCCAAAACGTTAACTCTGCTTTTTTTCTTCACAGATGCTGCAAGACCTGCTGAGCTTTTCCGGCAACTTCTGTTTTTGTTCCTGATTTTGGATAATGTTGGCCAGTACTTCATACAAATACTCATAACCAAAACGACACAGATGCACTAACAGAATCCTTATATTCAAAACCTTCTCTAGCAGCTTTTTCATACTGGTTTTGTCACATGAAGTGTTACATTTTTGGTACTTCCAAACAGTCTACTTGATTTTTGATACCAGACACCAAATGTGTATTTTGTTTAGAACAGAAGGGGACATTTTAGTATGTAATAGTCTTATATGCAACAATTCAAGTAGACAGGGGAAAAAAACATCAAAATCATTTACTTCTTTGGAAAGTACTCAACTCTACTGTGTATATTTAAATGCTAACTAATGTTTTGATATACTTGTACTATAATAAAGTCACTCACTTGGAAGTAGAAATCTAGAACACCAGTCATGTCACTTCCTTCTGGAAAACACTAGAAAATTTATAAAACAGTTAGCTTTTTCCCATTCAAAGACGTTTGTCCTTTTGTGGGGACGAGTGCAAAATCGTAGGATTTGCTAGTTTGGGCAAACACTCTCACAATCAAGGCTCAACTGCACTACTTATTTAAGTAACCAAAAAACTTAGAAAAATGAACTTAAACTGAAATGACAAACAAATACAGCATAAAAGCAGGTATAGCACCATTCAAGAGAATGAAATTATGTAACTATATGCACCCATAAGTATTTGCAATACACAAGGTGATTCTACAGACCTTCTTCTCCTTGAGGTAGTATCCGATAGCAAAATTTCTGTCTCCCGATTCTCTTTCGGACTGAAACCTGAGAACAATTACATTGAGTCAGATGTAGTCAATTGAAAGCTTAAATATAACATATCTAATTATTCTAAAAATACTTATCCTTTCAACACACTTCACATGAGCTGCCAAGTCTTTACATTAAAAGAAAGAGCTTGTTTTCATGGGGCATAAAAATAGTGCAATTTTTCTTTGAGTCAATCAGCTGATGTGACCGCTGTTGAAATGTAAGTGGGTTAAAATCTATTTATTGATCGATAATATTCTGTGAATCAGTACTTTCAATATGAAACAATTCATCCCAAAACTATTTGCTCACCATAGAAATTAGGTAATTGTGGGGAAATCAAATAAGTATTCTTTCACAATATTAACTATCAGAAGCCTCAAAAAAAGTTACTCAGAATCATCTAGAGGGAAATTCCTCAATATTTCAGACCCAATATAAAGCATTTACAAAGGCTATTTGCATCAGTGATTGAGCTGGAGTAGATGTGATGGGCCACAAGAGTCTATTCCACCATTTAGATCAGCAGAATGGAGTCCAGAAACTCAGAAGCTATGCTTCACTGCCATGAGAGAAATGATGGTGAAAGGGGAAATGTATATGCTTCTCAGCTGTTGACCCTCAGCCACGCGTTCTTTTTTTTAAAAAGTGCCTTGTGCTCCAATGACCAAGTCTACCTCTTCACTGGAAGAGGTGTTCAGGCAATGTTCACAATGCAGTTTCTTTTCTCATTCAGCTATGACCAGCATTAGCATAGTCTCTATAATAAGAGGCCCTTGAGGAATAGGACACAGATGCCTCAGAGGACACACTGACAAAGCTGTTTCCTGCGCAACTGCCAGCTCATCCACTAATACCTTGGAAGGAACAGTAGCCAAGTTAGAGTCCGGAACAACTGCTGGTAAGCACATCTTCATTTCTAGGCAGAATACCCCAGGGTTGGTGGCACTCTGAAGACTGCCAGAGGCCAGACACCAGATAAGCCCCTATGGTATCAGCAATTCAAGACTTCATTGACATGCAGAAGCAGGCAGGTTTGTCAGGGACATGGACAATACGACACAAAGGTTAGAGCACTGAAGCAACACTGCTGGGATCCTGCTGTTCCAGGACAGGTTGGTGGCTGCAATCAAGAGCCAGGTCCAGCAGTCTTAAGTATCTGTAGGCAGCACAGAGACCAAGTGGAGTTAGTAATGTGGGGTAATTGAGGAAGCAAAAGTGAGTGAGGAAGATGCTGCATGCAGTAATGAAAATTGTTGCTTGAGATACTGGGGCTCAGCACCAACAGCACAGTGCAAGGAGACCCTTCATCTCAATTGAGATGCCCTTTCCTCATAAGGAGAGGGTTTAATGTGAGTAGGCACCCAGACTGAGGAACCGCCACATATAGAACCCCTGGCGATCTAGTCACAGGACACTCTTGAGGTGGCCACGTCTTCACTTCTACTTTGTCTGCCACCTTTAGTCCTGTGGGAGATCAGGCTGCGAAAGGTGCACCTGTCTTCAGGCAAGATACACTTGGCACACCTTGGTCCTCTCAACCAACGTCCCCAGGACTGCCTGAACAAATTTCAGCCAACAGCTCCAACATATTCCAGGTTCCCTCCACCCTGGCTGCAGATCCCAGAACTACATCAGGACATGATGGGAGAAAAAAAGGACGACTTTGTAGGGGATCATAGGTGGCATGGGTGACACATCATTTTAAATTTGTATCACATTTATAAATATGCTAATTTTTCAACATCAGCTCTCTGTCTAACGGCAACCACACACATAGTACAGAGCCCAGCCCTCCTCATCACTAGCGGGTATTTGATAGCCCAAAGTGTAAAGTGACCAGCAACTACACCAAGTGCAAGCTACAAGACCTTGGAAGGTGCTTGCTACTTTAGCAAGAAGGATGAATCTTTCAAAGCCAATATACATTGCTTATCCATTACAACTTTGATTCTTGATACAGTGTAACATGATCAAGACTACTTCGGCGAAGGATTTGGAATACACGTAATAGAATAAATGCTTAAGGTTCACACAGCATATAGTGCTCACATTTGTCTTATAATGTTACTGTATGAAGGTCTGTGTAACACTGTTGCTCTTTGTACAGCCTTACTGATTTTGAAGCCATTTCCTTCACAGATTGAAACACTTACCTTGCCCACTTCACATTGCAGCCATTTTCAGCTCTATTGCACACTTGTTACGTACAGCACAATTTTTAAAAAGCAGTCAGTCAGTCAGTCAGAGTATCAACTTATTATTAGTGGATGCTCTATGAGAACACATTTCCTTCTAAATAGCACTCAGGCAATCCCATTGGTTTTGAACTTCTCCAGTCCACGCCCGACTCAGCTACTTTAATTTTTATCTCATGTAACAACCCACCCCCACCTCAAGCATGTCAGATAAAACATGCCAAATATAGTAGTGCACTGCTTACCCCATCCCCAACATGGAAGCCCAGGTTTTGTTGGCCATGCATGATCCACCTCTTCCACATTATCCATAATCCCCTCCACATTCCACAATGCTACCTCTTGTTCCCACAATTACGTTCCCCAGCAGCACTGGTCCCTGATAGAGGTTTACAGTACCATGCAGGGAGCCAGATTCGCCAAGTGACCACTGTGACTTTCATGGTGAGAATTCTTGGGGTTAAATTTACTATCTGGTGGGTGGGAGAATGGGAAACCGCACATTATTGATGTAAAATTAATTAATAATGAGATGTTAATATATGCCAACACATGCAAATAGATCCCTCGCCACTCACGAGCAAGAATCTAGTCTCATCATTCAACACTTGTTTGGAGAACAGTCAGTTTCTACCAAAGAGAAGCTTCTTGCTGGATGTCTCACCCAACTTTCCCTCCATAGCCCACAACATTCAGGGGTTGGGAAGATTCCACCCTCATTAATTGACCACCTGCCTCTGCTGAGGAGTTGCTCACACATAGCTTAAATAGACAGCAATGAAACACACAAGTCAGTTGTTGGAGCACTGCATTCCTAGCATGCTGCCAATTTCTCAAGTTTTAAAGACAATTTCTTCCTGAACACAAGTAACCCTGCTTGTTTAATAGGAGTCTACAGCATCATTTGATAATTAAATAAAACAGGTTTTAATCAATCTGCTGTATGACAATAAAGCGTTTTATTTGCCACTATGACTTCTTTGTACAGGATGTGAACTTAAGCACTTGTATTTTTATAAACAAGGTATTTGAATATTTTGGGCATTTTTTTAAAAACAAAAAAATTATTCTGGGAAGAAAACCAACTGTATGTCTCTACTTGAAGAAGTGAGTGGATAAGAGAGAAAAGACTGAGGAGGAGAGAAGAAACTAAAAAGGAATAGAGTTACTCACGTTGCATTATTAAAGCCAACGTATTCATTCCCAGCCATCTGATTCAAGAACTGTGTGACCTGTGAAACAACACTACTTTCAGAAAACATTTACTTTTAGAACCTTTCTTCATTAAGAAAATATGAACTAGGCATTGTACTTACATAATCAAATTTCTCAGCATTGCTTACTCCTTGCTACAAGAAAAGAAAAAGAGATATTGCTTAAATAATCTTCAAGTCTGAGAATCAGCTACAAATGTTCAAAGCATTTTCTATAAATAGCTTCATACAATTAGCTCCATGTATTTCAGTCAAAAAAACCTTCTCTGCATCTAGTTAGTAATACTTAGTAGTACTTATTGCTTTCAACATACTGTCATGTCCAAAGGCATGGACAGATTCTCTTCTTAAAAACTATATTAAAAAATGACTTGCTGGATTTTAGAATGGCTGAAAACAAACAGATTGGCAAAGTGGGATAGAAATGTCCAGAACAAAACACACATCTCTCAATGTCACACCTCGCACTTGCATCAACATTCCAATTAAGCCATGAAAGGAACCCCAAACAATACCTCTTCACAGATAGTAGGAACTGCAGATGCTGGAAAATCTGAGATAACAAGGTGTAGAGCTGGATAAACACAGCAGGCCAAGCAGCATCATAGGAACAGGAAGGATGAAGGGTCTAGGCCCGAAACGTCAGCCTTCCTGCTCCTATGATGCTGCTTGGCCTGCTGTGTTCATCCAGCTCTACACCTTAATACCTCTTCACAGCTGGGTTACGCCAGACTTGATAATAATAGCCTTTCAGTTATCTTCTGCAACACAATGGATTTGGACAAGGGGTCAACTAAGCAATTCAGTTAACTGAGATGAATCAATACAAAACCCTACTCACATGACTGAAACTATTGGGTTTGTAACAGCTTTAATTATACAGCTTTGACTTCTTTCATTTGTCCGACTGCAACACCAGAAGATAATGCAACATCAGCAGCTTGATGTTTGGGCAATACCTGCCTCCGATTTCAATCTCTCTCAAAAGTTTGATTTATGGAAAGAATCATGTTTCACATGCAAAGTGAACTAATTCCCCGTTTACAATTGCTGCAACTGCAATTTGACTACATCTGACCTCCTGCAAAGAAAACTGTGCACAGTCGATTGAAAAGAGTTCCACTAGAAATTGAATTAGTGGGATCTAATTCAAATTAAGTGATGCCAGTATATTGATTTTAAAGTAATTCATAATTCGTGACCTCTTTTCTTCCTTGTTCTTTCTTGGTTGTGCTTGTGAGAATGTGCGTTATGAATCACACTCCCCAACTTTCCACCACCACCACGGTTTTGAATTATTTTGTTTCAATTTTAAAGAACTGCTGTCACAAACTGGGTTTGGGGAACCACACCACTTCCTATTACTAAAAAGGGAAGAGAAAAATTTAAAAAAATAAAAATATCTGTTGCATACAGAAGAGGACAGTAGTAGAAGTAATCCAATTTTCCACTTTTCCTTGTCTGTGACAATGTAAATGATTTAGTAAAAATACTACAAATTCATAAACAGCATCCCTGGATAAATTATTTGTACAGTATTAGTTACATAATCTAAGTGAATATTTTATATTTAATGGCATAACAGAATCAATATTCAAACAATGTGTGCATTTGTTAAAAGCACTAGTCAGAAAGACGAAGAATAACATAGACCATAAGATACAGGTGGAGAATTAGGCCATTCCATCCATTGAGTCTGCTCCTTCATTCGATCATGGTTGATGTTTCTCAACCCCATTCCCTTGGTTTCCCCCATAACCCTTGATCCTTTTACTAATTAGGAACCTATCTACTTCTGTCTTAAAGACATGGCCTCTACATTCTTATGTGGCTACGAGTTCCACAAATTCACTACCCTCTGGCTGAAGAAATTCTTTGTCGCTCACTTCTAAAGAGTCATTCCGTTACTCTGAGTCTGTGCCCTCCGGCCCTAGTCTCTCCGACTAGCGGAGGGATTTTCTCCATATCCACTCTATCCAGGCTTTTCAGTATTCTAAGTTTCAATCAGATCCCGCCTCATCCTTCTAAACTCCTTCAAGTACATACCCAGAGTCCTAACTGTTCCTCATAGGATTTTGATTTGATTTATTGTCATATGTACTGAAATACAGTGAAAAGTATTATTTTGCATGCTCTCCAGACAAATCATACCTTACATAAGTATATCAGAGTAACAGAACAGAATGCAGAATAAAGTGTTAGAGCTACAAAGAGGGTGCAAAGAAAGATCAACTCTACGAGAGATCCGTTCACAAGTCTGATAACCGCGGGGAAGAAGCGGTTCTTGAATCTGTCGTGTTTTCTAACTTTTGTATCTTCGACCCAATGGAAGAGGGTGGAAGAGAATATAACTAGGGTGGGAGGAATCTTTGATGATGCTGACCTCTTGCCCAAGGCAGCAGGAAGTATAGACGGAGTCAATGGAAAGAAGGCTGGTTTTTGTGATAGACTGGGCTGCGTTCACAAGTCTCTAAATTCCTGCAATCTTGAGAAGAGCAGTTGTCATACCAAGCTGTGATGCATCCAGATAGGATGCTTTCTGTGGTGCATCTATAAAAGTTGGTAATAGTCATTGTGGACATACCAAACTTCCTTAGCCTTTTGAGGTAACAGAGGCATTGGTGTGCTTTCTTGACAGTAGCATTGCTGTGAATGGACCAGAACAGACTGTTGGTGATATTTGCTCCTACGAACTTGAAGCTCCACCTCAGCACCATTTATACAGACAGGGTCATGACCTCCAATCTGCTTCCCGAAATCGATGACAGCTCCTTCGTTGCGCTGATTTTGAGGGAGAGATGGTTATCTTTACATTGTGCCACGAAGCTGTTTATCTCTTTCCTGTACTTGGTCTCATCATTGACAAACCCTTCATCCCCAGGGTCATGCTTGTGAAACTCCTCTGGACCGCTTCCACGGTTAGTGCATCCTTCCTTAGATACGAGGCCCAAAACTGCTCCCAATATTCCAAATGCGGTCTGACCAGAGTTTTATACAGCCTCAACAGTGCATCCCTGCTCTTGTATTCGCACCCTCTCAAAATGTACACTAATATTGCCTTTGCCTCCCTGAAAAAACAAACCTGCATATTAACCCTAACAGAATCCTGAACTTAGACTCCCAAGTCCCTTTGTGTTTCAGATTTCCAAAGCCTTTCCCCATTTAGAAAGTAACCTATGCCTCTATTCTTCAGTAATTTAAAACAATTTTGTAAAGATATCAGAAAATTTCCCCAGTTGGAAATGTAATTTGTCACAATTCACATGTTGTTTAACCAGAAGAGAGATACAGATCACCCATAATATAGCAGCGCAGTTAATCTCACAAACAGAAAAAGGATATCACTTCATAGCCCCACAGCTTTTGGTTCTCTAACTCTGGCTGTTTGGGCACATTCCATACCCTCCTCATTCTTTGGAGGTTAGCCGTTTGCTGCCTCAGCCCTGCATCTATGGTTTTTTTTTAATAAAACTACAACAATTCCACCCTACTTCGTCTCAAACCCTCAAAACTCCTCAGTTCAACAAGCTTCGGTCATCTTTCATACCATTAACTTTTACACCATCGACTCCTTTACTATTTACTTCTATTAATTGCCTTAAAACATTTCTTTGAAACTGTTGCACAATTCTAATTCTGGTAATTTATGATGTGCCAATTTTGTTTTATAAAAGCATTTAACAAAAACTATTAATATTAAACAGTAGCTGAGACATCTTACATTTAATTTGGAGCCAAAAACAGATCTGGTCAGGTAACATTCACCTGAGAATACTCAGAAAGCATTGAGGTCATTTGCAGGTGCTTTACACATCTTCATTTGGCTTGCTCGAGTCAGATCGGCTCCTTAGATTGAAAGGATGTCACTTGGTTCTGATTTTCAAATAAGGTGAGACAAAAACCAGGGAACTATGGCCCATTGGTTTGACTTCAATTATATGCAAATATTGATAGAGATCATAAGATGTGTTGCCAATGATCACCTGGATAGAGAATGGAGTCAAAGGCAGAAAACATAGCTTCTGGGGAGAAAACAGGTCATGACTCACTAATTAGACAGTTTCAAAGAATTTACTAGTTGAGGCTAGCTCAGTAGACACTGTTTATTTGGACTTTCAGAAAGTCTTTGAGAAAGGTAATTCACAAGAGGTTAATGCACAATATAGAACCTTGTGAAATTGGGATTCTGTGAAAATAAAATTGGGCATTCTACCAGGCATAAAAATTAATATTAAAAGGTCATGGATGTAACAGGAGACCAATTGTATTCTGCAAGGATCAGTGAAGGTACACAGCAACTGCTTCTGATGCTGCTTGGCCTGCTGTGTTCATCCAGCTCTACACCTTGTTATCTTTTGCCTTAATGAACAGTCTGGTTGTAGGTGTTTTGGACATGGTCTGCACATTTGTCATTCATACAAGATTTATGCATTATAAGCTATATGAAAATTATGGGGAAATTAGCCAACATTTCGCAAATGATATTCATTTTGGATAACCTCATTGACATTAGCTCATGTCTAAAACAATGTTATGATTATAGTGAAAATGGATGATTAACTTTAATCATTTGACTTTAATTGGTTTTAAAAAAAAGATTTTAGCCAAACACACTACTGACTTAAAATGGCTGCTTGTAATCACCCGACAAGCCCAGGCAACCCACTGGGAGTATACAAAATCAGCAGCCTCAGAATTATCGTTTTAATCAAGAGGTCCTGAACCTGAGTAAGATATCAAAATGTGCATCTCTGGTTTTACTCACACTTGCATAATAACTGCACATATTGAGAAAGGTCACCTACAACTAACCAGCTAGAAATGAATAAAAAAATGAAAAACAGAATCTGCAAAGGAATGGAATTTAAACAGCAGCTTGAGCAAAAGAAAGCAAGCAACAAACGGATTACAAGGGTATTGGAAGCTCCTCCCTCTCTCTCAATCTCAATCACAGAAACAAGTCAACCATTGTGCACTGAACACAAAATCTGCAGAGATAGTAGGAACTGCAGATGCTGGAGAATCCGAGACAACAAGGTGCAGGGCTGGATGAACACAGCAGGCCAAGCAGCATCAGAGGAGCAGAGAGGCTGACGTTTCGGGCCTAGACCCTTCATCAGAAAAGGGGGAGGGGAAGGGGGTTTTGAAATAAATAGGGAGAGAGTGGGAGGCGGATAGTAGAGGGATAGAGGAGAGAATAAGTGGAGAGGAAACAAACAGGTCGAAGAGGCGGGGATGGAGCCAGGAAAGGTGAGTGTAGGTAGGGAGTTAGGAAGGGGATAGGTCAGTCCAGGGAGGACGGACAGGTCAAGGGGGCGGGATGAGGTTGGTCGGTAGGAGATGGAGGTGCGGCTTGAGGTGGGAGGAGGGGATAGGTGGGAGGAAGAACAGGTTAGGGAGGCAGGGACGAGTTGGACTGGTTTTGGGATGCGGTGGGGGGAGGGGAGATTTTGAAACTTGTGAAATCCACATTGATACCATTGGGCTGCAGGGTTCCCAAGCGGAATATGAGTTGCTGTTCCTGCAACCTTCGGGTGGCATCGTTGTGGCACTGCAGGAGGCCCAGGATGGACATGTCGTCTGAGGAATGGGAGGGGGAGTTGAAATGGTTCGCGACTGGGAGGTGCAGTTGTTTGTTGCGAACCGAGCGTAGGTGTTCTGCAAAGCGGTCCCCGAGTCTCCGCTTGGTTTCCCCGATGTAGAGGAAGCCACACCGGGTACAGCGGATGCAGTATACCACATTGGCAGATGTGCAGGTGAACATCTGCTTGATGTGGAAAGTCTTCTTGGGGCCTGGGATGGGGGTGAGGGAGGAGGTATGGGGGCAGGTGTAGCACTTCCTGCGGTTGCAGGGAAAAGTGCCGGGTGTGGTGGAGCTGGAGGGGAGTGTGGAGCGGACAAGGGAGTCACGGAGAGAGTTGTCCCTCCGGAAAGCAGATAAGGGTGGGGAGGGAAAGATGTCTTTGGTGGTGGGGTCGGATTGCAGATGGCGGAAGTGTCGGAGGATGATGCGTTGGATCCGGAGGTTGGTGGGGTGGTACGTG